GGGAAACGCGCGCGGGAGTGAAAATCACCCCACGCGAGAAAGGCGATACGCGGCGGGACGCTCGCGTTTCGCTCGCTCTACTGTCCCTGAGGAAAAAGGGGGACCTACTCGTAGTCTACCCATTTTTACAAGAAGGGTTTTGCAGGTGGGCTCGTTTTGAAACTAAGTGAGATTAGAAATCGAAAGTGGCCGATTGTCTTAGCCGTCCGTGAAGCCCTCCATCGAACACATCAGAGGTGTTTTCACTTATCTTTTTGATCGCCTGGATACACTTTGAGATGACTCGTGCGATGGAGACCATTAAAACGATAGCACGGAAGCCAAGCTTCATAATTTGTCTTCAAAGAGAAATCAGTAGGCGACACTACAAGTTGATCATTTTTATTTTATATGTTAACATATTTTAAACTGGGCGATGCCATTTAATTTCTTTACCATTAAATTATAAACGCTGTTATTTTTTCATCTGGTATATACAATTTTTTACATGCAGCATAATAATATTTACGACCGACAATTTAAACTAACAATCTTAGGACGGAAAAATATCTTCTACTTCCTAAATACTCAGTCGAATAGACTTCGGAGAAAGGTGGGGCATTTCAAGTTACCATACACGACCTTCAAAATCAATAACATTAGAGAATTTTAAAAGTTTCCGTCAATTAAACGATACAAAGAGCGCGGGCTACTGCCGGGTTTGAACCGTTTGATTGACGGAAATCTATTCCAAACAGCGTTGATTTCGAAGGTCGAGTACCAGTGTAAAACGTGGTAAATTAGCCAAGACACAGTTTCTGCATGTTAAAATATTCAAGCAAAATTTAAAGTTTGTTGTTTGTAATCATATCCATGTTTGGCTCAATTTCGAAATAACTTTAAAAGTTACAACCTAACGAATAAAAAAATATCGTGACAGACCTACTCTTTTAGGCGTTTAAAGTTCCATATATTAAAGACAACATTAACATTGCAAATTTGGCAATTCCCTTCAGTCGATTAAGATCTATAAGTTCATGGAAAATTCAGTATTCCCTTGCGCTTGGCATTATTTCAAAATAAGAAGAGAGAGAGAGAGAGTCGAGTGCAGTAAGAAGACCCACCGAAACCAGCCGAGGAAGTCGTCATTTAGGCTGTCACGAATCATACTCTGTGCAAAATAAGCGGCACATATCTGAAGAGAGCAATTCAAACGGACACTTTAGGAAAGTTACGTGACGATGTCTGGAAGTCATAATCATCCAATAAGAAATCCACACTCCGAGTATCGCTATCAGACATATCTGCTAAAACCAAGTCACTTCCGACTGACACGTTATCCAAATCATCCGAGTCAGCGGTAATATCTGCAGAGAGCTCCAAGTTCCTATAGGGGACCCTAAGGGGGACGTGAGGTTCCACCGTTTGACTGTTTGCCACAGTAATTTTCTCCATGTGTCTCTCTGTTGGCTTTTTCTTGACTGAAAACAAATAAATAATAAATAAATAAATGATCAATCAATCAATTAATGACGGTTTAGAGGTAGCACATCCACACAGTAGTTCTTTGTATAGCATTCCAGATTGAATAGACTTTTTTAGCTTGTATCTTTTGTTTTCTTATTTCAGACCACGTGATGGTACCCTAGAGAACTGTTTCCGATACACGTGCATCCACGCGCATATGTATGCATATTTTGTGACAAAAGGCAAATTCCTGGAGGTCTGAATTGGAAAAAAAACCAAAACGTACAGGCTAAAATCAGGCTAAATAACATGTTTTAAACGCATCTCAGCCCCTTAGCCGCAAGAAACGTATAACATCTTTGATATGATAAACTTTTTGTACGAAAATATTCGGAATTCTAACACAATTGTGGCTAAATTTATGGGGGGCAAATAAGGCGCATTATGCAGTTAGTACGCAGCTCTTAAAACCCTCTAACAGTTCATCGGTTCTCCAAAACACGCAGCTCCATTGTTTTCGTGATAGAGTCACTATTATATCTCTATGTCTATTGTTTTCACAGCCAATACTGTGAGACCTTGTAAAGAGCTGCGTGGCGTGGAAGTGGAGTATTGGAATTTGAAAATATTGGTTTTTATGGAGGGCGAAACCGGAGTACCGAAACAAAACCTGTCAGAGCAAGAATGAGAAGCAGCCCGTTTCTTACCTGGATCAATATCACACCGCCAGATATCAAGAGTTCTTGCCATATCAGCCTGAACACGCGTCTTGCCTCCAAGCACCAACAAACAGGCGAATGGTCGAGTCAAACTTTTCCTTAAATCCGTGGGGATAATAGTGGAATCCACATTTAAAAATTCATGGCTTTGGACGCGGCCTTTTGTGGCCCGAAAATCTCCCCAAGAGGGCAGATTCTGGGCTCTATTGCCCGCGTGTGTCGAGTTGTCGGGCTCGTTTCCGTTCAGAGAGTCATCCGACAAAGTCATGCCTCGAGAATTCTCGTAAACTTGAGTGCCAAACATGGATGCAGGTCGATTTTGGTTGCGTTTAGCATCGCGAGACTTTACTGTAGAATTGGATGAAGGCGCTGTTGAATCAAGTGAGTCCAACGATGCTGCAGATCTCTCCCATCGGGTGACGGGTTCGCGCCAGGATTCCCCCGTAGAGTCCCCATGAGTGGTCAGTCGACTGTCCAGACTCTCCTCCTTCAGAAAGCCAGACGGCATGGGAGTACAGGGTGGGGCGGAGTGGGACGTCGATGGTCGCACAGATATTAGAAACGCGGAAGACGTTACTACCCCCATGGAAAAACAGCTACGGACGGGTGGAGATATCCGACCCCTGGGGCGAACAGTTGTCCACGTGCGATTCCCTGAAAGACGTTACAATACGTAGGTTGGTTTCAGCCGAACAAATCAATTTAAGTAACCTACATCCAAGACAATGAAAGGGCTATTTGAAAAATGTACTCGGAAATACTTTGATATTCGCGACTACAGCGATTTAACAACTTTACGTTGACAGACTCGAACTAACTTGTTCCTCTTTGTCCCTCGGTACATTTGAAACCAAAATGCATTTTTCGGCCTATTTGAGTTTCAAGTCTTGATTGGTTCACTGCATTGTCTGTTTGTTTTTATTTGCCAAAGGACTTCATGGGTCTTCCGTAATCCAATGAAACCGCGTTCTATCGAGGGATAGCAATTTTTCATACCTAGATCAAGCCGCCACATTGAATTTTGCAGAACGCCGTCAGCTGTCTCCCCTCCAAATATTAACATCCCGTCTCCAACCTATAAACACACGGAAATGACACTCACTATTGGAAAAAATCAATCAAAAAGCACAACTCAAGTAGGAGGGTAACCAGAGGATATCCGGCAAGCATCAACCAAACATGGACCGCTGTACTGCTCCAAAAACTTCGGGTATATTTAGGTAAAATAATCTCAGTCCCCTCGTTTGATTTGATGGGCCGTTATACTGGCTCCAACTCATGATTCCACAGGTGCTCGTTATTTTAAGTCCCCGTTATTTTAAACGTTAAAACATTTTCGTCCACCATCGTGTTGGAAGAGACCCTCTCTACACTGTATTTAAAATGTACAACACGCAGGAAAAGGTTAATGTGGGATCACTGACTTTGTTCGACGTGTGATCAAACATTATTTGCAAAAGAAAATATTTGATCGTTTATCCGAGGCTTTAGATAGTGACCTCGAAATCAGCCGATCCTAGGAAAAGTGAAGCCGCTTTTTCTTTCGGGCACATTAGATAGCTTGACCTGCCATTGGTCGAAGGCAAAAATTATGCAAGAACACACCATTCTCAACTACAACGCAAGTAAACGTAAAATTTTCCTAATATGAAACACCTGCTTTTAAAATGAGATTTCTCCTAGAGTTTAACTGTTTAGTATATAAAATGGTGGCAGATCAGTATATCATTACATTAACTGCTTAGTATGAGAGATCAGATTACTTCACTCCTTACCTTGATTGCAGAATGACCAAACAGGCCCGGCGGACCACCTCGACTCTTAATTCTCGACCACGAGTGAGAAACTATGAAAGAAACAAAACTGAGAGCTTCGCTGGGGAACCCTTAAATATTAGTTACTTAGAGTTAAGCATTTTTTCTCTTCCCCGGTTTTTTCAACTTTTGACACGGGTTATTTAGGGAAAATCTGTCGATACCACTGGAAAGAACACATTAAACATCGGTTGACAAAAGCATCACTTGCAGGGTGAGACCCCAGGGTGAGAACATCTTCCACTCACCCCGCCCCCCCCCCTCCCCCCCCCCCCAATTTGTCGTCTTCAAGAGAACAGCCAGCGAAGAACTGCTTCAACGTGTAAATCTCAAATCTAGAACTCGCTTTTCCTTCGTTCTTCCTTTCAGGTTTGTGCGTTTTTCGGAGCCTTGATCGGTCAGATTGCTTCACGTCAACGTGCGTCACGGGCGAATAATTTTTCAATTGATTGTGAGCTCATGTCCATTTTTTAAAGAGGAATTCAGTTCACTTTCTGATTAGGGCAGAAGTTAAATTACTTGAGAAAGACATTTCTTAAAAGAATCACCGAGAGCTTCAGTTTTGGCCTCGGCTAAATCTATATATTATCCCCGAGATATATTTCTAGGCGAATCACCTGATATGACACTCAGGATGCTACTTCTTGCAGAATCCATACAAATCGCTTTCAGTCACCAGTACGATCAAGAGGGTGACGTTTATGCACTTTCATTTATCAGTTAGTTTTGTTATTTCGTATGTTTTTAAAACCTGTCTACCTTACCCAGTCCCATTACTACTGGTACTTACCAAAGCTCCATCTCCACAGATCGTTCTTGGTCTGTAGACCTTCCAAGCCTCCATACACCCACATGCCAGCTGCTCCCACGGCCGCTGAATGACTGTACCGCGGGCTTGGCCCTTCGCCTTTCCACTTTAGTCTGACCCACTTTGAAGTATCTGCAAAAAAGTTTAAAAAAAAAGTCTTAAAAGTAATGTCAAATTGAGTCTTTGCCAAAATCGTATTTGCTCTCTCGTAAACCTAAAGGGAAGGTAAGGCAGGTACGTGAAAATATTTTTATTAAAAAAAAATCACATTTAAAAAAAAACAAAAAAAAAAAAAACAGCTGAATCTGCCTTTTCGTAAGAAAATACTGTCACCACAATCACACCACCACTGGGTGAGAAGAACCCATCCATGGTTCGGATTTTTTTGTTGAATTATGAGTCGAGACAGCCCACCAAACCTCTTAGCATGCTTAGTGCACTCTCGAAAATTGTGGTCAGTAGATAGGAAACAATGGAAACCGACTCACCAAGTTCATACTGCCAGAGTTCGTTGGTTGCACCTCTCATGTCGATATACCCACCAAATACAAACATAGAACCCTCATGGTGAACAGCAGTGTGAGATCGACGCGTTCCTGGGCCCTAGGGAGTTATAAAAGAGAAAACAGAGATGAAAAGAAAAGCTACAGTGAAAAGTGGATTTTAGGAAGATGTTTGCCCTGCCTGATGTATCATTGTGAAAAGCTTTTTCCAGTATTCGCGATTACTTTGCCCTTCATAAGTAGTGTGACAGACTGAAAAACAATTTTACTAAAGGCTCGCTAAAAAAATGTGATTTTTCATGCACTTTTTCCTGCCATTTCAAATTGCGCGTGTAACCTAGCGGTGATTTCATGGCGATGTTTGAGGCGAAAGTGCCTTTGCTTTCTAAACTACTTATAGTGAATTTTTACTCGACTTATCCCCAGTCAGCGATTTTCTGCGCAAGAATTATCAGAAAACTGGGAGCTGCCCCGATGAGCCTTTACAACGCAGGCGCCCGTAGGATAAAGTTTGAATAATGGTAACAAAACTGCCAGGAAATCACCGCACCAGCAGGGCTAAGATCGCCCTTTAACAGGCCTTTTTGGCACTCAGCTGAAAATCAATCTAATCTTACCCAGGATTTTGCGGCTTGTTTTCTCCACACCCGCGAACCTAAGAAGAAAAAAAGGAGTCTGTATAAGAAATGAAAAAGAACGCAGGTGAAGAATAATCTCAAAGGAAAACACAACGCACTTACGAAAATTAAAAGTCCATAACGGCGTCTCGTTCGTTGCTGTAAATTCGCCGCCGAACACGTACATATTACCCTGTAATAATTGAGGAAAAAGAAAAAAGCAAAAACAAAAAAACAAAAAAAGACTTAGTAGGTACCTCAAATGAAAGTATTTAGAGTAGTGAAATCCTTTGCATCACAAAGAAACAACACTGAACGAGCTAAAATAATGAATTTCATGTAGACATCATTTCGCACCCCAAGGAAATTAGAAGGACATCGCACCTCATAGCCGTTAACATGGTGCTATTTTTCTTTTTTGATTTTGCACAATAGGGATTTAAACTGTTAATTGAAATTACTACCTTGTATGGAACGGCGGTGTGTTCCTGTAGCGAAGGCGGTTTGAAGTCGCCTTCTACAACAACCTCACTCCAAGTGTTAGTGGCTGTAAAGCAAAAGGATCAAAAAACACTGAGAACATAGAGAGCTGTCGAGCGGCCCAAAATATTAAGAATGGGTAAACAACACTGCAAATACTACACTGAAAATTAAAAAGATCTGTTTCAGCCCCAAAGTGACAATTCAGCCCTGCAGGCCAAAGTCTGATTCATCCCTTCCTGGAGCCATTTGAGCACAATTCAGGCCAAAAGAGCTCAACCAAAAGGCTATTCCAGCCCACGGTAGGGCCCATTTCAGCTCTGGTACCAATCAGCCCTAGCTAATTAGACTGTATTGGCCCTAATTTAAGGGAGCCAAATTAGGACTGTATTTTACTCACCGAAACGGCCCTATTTTGGGGGCTAAAACAGATCTTTCTGATTCACAGTGTAAAGTAGGCACGGATGGACAATATTGAAGAAGATTTAAAAGGATTTCAAAAACAAAATGCCTTGTATGCCAGCTGGAGCCAGACACACTTCCCTTAAATCAGGTTAGTTAAAACATGCACAAACTGGAGGGGATGACAAGTAGAAAGGAAAAAAACGCGTTCAAAAACAAATTATAGCTACTACCACAGGGTATTCAAACAAGTCAACCTCTCACCTATTTCATATCTCCAGAAGTCTTTGAGCGTTCCTCTGGTTCCTCGCCCTCCATACACGAAGACCTCTCCTCCCCAGACACAAACCGAGTGCCTACTGCGTGCGCACGGCATGCCTAGGCTCGCCGGAAAGACTGGGCTCCATAGGTAATCTGCGTCTCCGTAGCTTCCGCTGAATGCAGGTTCTATAAAACACGACAAGCAAATAATATCGCCAGTAGCACAAGTAAGGGGTTTCCAACGAAAATAATATTAACAGAAGCTGTTAACATGTAAGGAAAAAACAAGAGCAAAAGCGATGAGTAGCCTTGTTGACGTGGCAAGTGCAATAATTAGAGTCACCATTAAACAATCGATCGCTTTGGTGCCACCTTTCCTTCTCGCTTTTGTATAAACGAGTTAGATTCTGTTTTGTTCAGTTTACAGATCTCAAAATACGTCAAAACATGGTAAGAACGTCAGTGAACTCTCTTTGGCCACTTTTTAGTTCGTGCCACATTTTGACGCTCAAAACAAAGGTAAGAAAATTTGCCAACGAAAGATCTGTTCCTCGCGCCTCTAAACTTGGAGACATTTGCGTCCGCAATAACCACTCCCCAGCAATAATATTTCCTAGTTTAATTAGGCCTGAAGATCAATGAGGAGGGTGCGACAGGACTCACCATTGGCTGTCTGATCCGTTTGAGATTCTTGCTGTAAGCCATCAACCCACGTTTGGCTTAACAACTCTGTGCGTCTGAAAAAAAAGGGGGGTGGGATAAGGAAAGATATAAAATAAAGTCAACCCCAATGGACACGAACACTATAATGTAACTGGCACAAGGTGTCTATGCTGGAGATATTATCTGCCTAGAGAGAGGGTCCTCAATAGGTTTTTCGGAACTCGGGATTTCCTTTATTTGAAGCTCGGGATTCGGGATTTGAAAGCAAAATCGGGACGAGATTTGGGATTGAAAGTACGCTAGGGAGGTGGGATGCCAAAAATAACCCTCAGGATTAAGAGATTGCATGAAATTTTGGGTCGGGATTATGGGATTGAAGAACCCTATTGGGAACCCTCTCGAGAAGTACTTACATACTTTAACTACAAAGACATTTAAAGACGTTTAAAAGATAAACTTAAACAGTATGACTTAATTTAAAGAAGAATCTCAATTGTACCAGAGCTTGATAAGGGGGGGAAGGGTCTCGTAAAAAGAGAAATGTTAGGCTTTGGCTATTCCTAGTTAAAAATGACTGAAAAAATTAAGGGACTGATTTTAGGGGTCCGCTTTACGGCGATAGAGAGGGGACTGTAATTCTGATCAAGTCTAAAAATGTACTGAGGGTGTGCCAGAAAAGATGCCTGTAACTCACCGTGTTCCTTGTTTTGTTGATGTGACAATGGTAGGTGATCTGTGGCTTTCTCGAAGACGATCATACTGTCAAAACAACGAAAACAAATAATGAAGGATTTAACATCACGTTCTTTTCCGAAGTTATAGAGCAATCTTTCCGCTGCCTTCCAAATTGGTCAACTGGCGAGACAATACAACCTCTTAAGGGACCGTGTAAGTTTTGTAACAGAATTTGCACGGTTCCGTGTAAACAGTTTATACAGGTAAAACATTCGTCCGTCCATTTAAACATTTGTCCAGACCGGTGGAATCGGAGTTTTAGGGCCTGTTTACATGGAGGTGGGGGACCCCAGGTATAGGTGAAGTAACATGTGACGGGTCGCCCCACCTATCATGTAAACGTGATCAAATTAAAATGACAGATTATATGGACAGGCAGGTTACCCCACCTAAGCGGGATACCTCACCTACCTGGGGTCCCCTACCTCCAAGTAAACAGGCCCTTAATAAGCAAAACAACTTTGCACGTGCATCATGCGTTTTTTATGCATTTCTTTGCCATCAATTGCACGACTTCAACGTGAAAATGCCTAATTCCACGTGCCATGTAGGACGAAAACAACGGACGACAAAATTTTCTCTCTTTTTGAACTTGGATATGCCTCTCCAAGAGATTTCGCCTACAATTGGCAAAGTAGATGAGTTGGAATAATAACAATCAAGATAAAAAGAACGCGAATTCACTTTTTGAGTGACGTTTTTGTTTTCCCTGACGTTGGCGTTCACGGATCTTAAGGTCCTTTAGGCGTTATAGCGTAATGCTTTTATAGGGGCCCTTTACATGGAGGGAGGAAGATCCTAGTACCGGGAAGATCAGAGGAGGCGGATCAACTTTACGTTGGGTTTACATGCAGAAATTTTGGTCCGTGTGGTGCACAAATATAGAATGTTTGAGAAGGAATTAAAAATGGCGGGCGACAAAAAAAACATACAATTTGGGCCCTTCTGCTCTCTTTACTGGCGTTAACAACTACCTTTCAGCAGAATTATCACAGTAATCACACAATTATCGAGGTAACGCCAAACGAAATGGTCGGCCATTAGCCACTGAACGACCCGCCGCTATTTTTGTCTGGTTTGTCCCTAGTACTACGATCTTTTTAGCAAAGGCAGTTTACATGGTGCTAGGATCTTCGTAGTAGTAGGATCTTCCTACCTGTCAGCTAGGAAGATCCTAGTACTAGGAAGATCCCAGCTCTAGGAATAAGGCACAGCCCTTTGCATGTAAACCGAATACAGAAAATATATGGCGCTAGGATGATCCGCCCTCTTGGATCTTCCTGGTACTAGGATCTTCCCACCTCCATGTAAACAGCCCCTTACCTTGCTAAATTCTTTGTCCTGAATACTTGTGTGCTTGAATACCGAGTCCAGTATGAGAGGGTGTTTCCTCATCCAGCTCACGAACTCCGCCTTGGTTAGTTTTCCATTCTGCAGATCGAAACGGACAGTAAACGATCAGTCAGTGGAAAAAATTTAGGAAAATGTTCATTAAAATATAGAGGTGGAGGAAAGGAGGGCTAAAATTTGGAATAATTTACCACAGGATTTGAAAACATTGAAAACGTTTGGCTATCTGTAAATATCGAGAATTCGCCGTCAAAACTGAAATTTCGAAATAATTCATTGTAAGTCAGAAAGAACCCTTCGGTGAAACATTTTCGAAAATCACAATCAAAGTATCCAAAGAATTTTCATTTTCGAGAAAACTGCCAAAAAGTGAAATGCTGCCTACGTCATTATAGTTGCCAGACCAAAACCTTTTGAATTATACCATTTTCAAAGCCCTCGGGGAAGAAAGGCGGTCCAAGGAAACAAGTTCATCTTTGGCAGGTAAGTAAGGAATTCCAGTTGCAATAACATTTGGTAAAAATATTGCAAGATAATGCATTCTTTACTCGGTGAAAAATCGCCCGAAGATTCCTATCTTCAGCACTTTCATGGTGAAATTTTGCGAAACTATGACGGAAAAAATCACGGCTTGGTACATGGAATTTTAGAAGAATTATTGTCCCTCAGAAAAGCCCTGAGAGGGCGAGGGTGAGAGGGAGAGGGAGAGGGGAGAACCCTAGCCCTCCTTCTCACATCTCTTTGCGCCATCCCCGCACGCAACACAGTCTGAACGCCTGGAACAAACTTGTCTATTGATAAACATGTGCATGGTCATAACTATGCCCGCGGTACCAACCGCACGGCTATAAGGTCTCGGTTCAAAACTAATATCTTAGCAACGTGCAACGACTGCATGTTCAACAAAGAACTTGATCGATTCACGCAGAGTTTTTCTTGGGTACGCCAAAATCGAACAAGTAAAAGCCAGGCTCTGGCGGCAGGGTGTAAAGAAGTAGGAACTGTACGAAACGGGGGATCACTGGGATTTTGAGAATTGTTTGTACACCCTAATATAAAGGTACCCCGCAAGGACACTTCCGACTCAGTGTTATTGGAAACATTTTTACGTAATTCACGGGGTTCGTACCCTTTTTTGAACAAAAAATTCAAGGGCCTTTCGAGGAATTTCAAGTGGACACATTTCCCATTTTTCAACGATTTCATTCAATGTTAAAAAAGCCTTGAGTATGTGTCTTTCTTTTAGCTCTTTTACAATGTGACCAATTTTGTCCTGAAGGTCTTTCAGTGTTTGCTTCTTGTAGGCACTTGAGAATCTGGATTGGATAAATTTAGTACTTAAATTCAAAGACTTTCCAGCACCGATTGCAATTTTAAAATTCAAGGACTTTCAAGATGCTTGCCAGCCCTATTCAACGTTACCATCTACTGACACAGAATTTGTTGGAAGAGTCAGAAGATCCTGGTATAGACATAGTCAAGAGATGATGAACAGCTAATTATTGCTATCCTGTAAAAAATGAGATACAGACACGAGCTGGCGGTCAGGCGAAATAGAACTGGATAAACTGACGCAGATAGACGAAAACTTTGTCACAAAAAACATTTAAAAAAATTCAGATAGAAAGAGTACCACCAAAATAAATTCAAAGTTGTTCTCTCTTGCAAGGAAACATTGCGAGACGCAGGAATAGGCCAAGTAAAAACCATAGACTAAAGACAGACTAAACAGATTATTACTAAGTTTTTTTGTTGTTGTTTTGTTTTTTCTTTCTTTCTAAGACGAAATCCCACCAAGGGACACTTCTAATTGAAACGTCATAATATTTCCCTATTCATAATCACTCTACGTATGACTTACGGGCGACAAGCATGATTATCACCTGCAAGTGACGTGGGTATCTTACTTAAATAACATTATTTATCATATATATTTGATGCGCATTTTATTCGGCACAGTATTCGTATGGTTGTACAATTTATTTCAATCTCACAATTACTTTCCTTTATTACTGGTACCAGGCTTTTATTTTATCAAACTTAGCGAACCTAGTCTTTGAGAAGAAATACTGTTTTTGTTTCTCGTTGGAAAATTGATAAAAATAGATCATCATTACGTTCACCTAATTTTGCAACAAATTTGCGATGGATGAATACAGCTCTCTGCCAGATGTCAAGATGACTCTATTGTCAGAGTGGTACTTAATTTATAATATACGAGTATAACTGCGTACAGCAGCCGTTTCTATTACATTTAATGTTTTGTTTTTAAATTCACAAGGAATAACGAAATTAACGTCGATTGTTGACGGTTTCGGAAATCAAATGAAAATAGGTATAAGCAACAGAACCTTATAATCGTGAAAGAAGCGGAATTTTCGTCGATTAATATTAATTAATACAAGCATTTAAAGAGCTACCGTTAAGCGTTTGCCTTAGGATTTAGACTTCGGGCAACAAAACTAATTTGAGTTGCTTTAGTTGAATACCGCACAAGTATATAAAGAGACTCAACAGCTCGTCCTAAACATTAGCCTATAGCAAATTAACAAGCACGAACTACACATGTGTAGAATGAAGACACTTTGAAGGTTTTTAAAATTTCATCACCAAGCTTAAAAGCAAAAAAAACAACGATAACAGACCTATAGACAAGATTCGAATTGGCAGTAAATTTGGATGGAATTATCACTAGGATTTTAGCGCCAAAATAATTTCATTTTAGCATTTGTGCCATGGCTATAAATTAACACCGAGGAAGGCGGCCGGTGAATATTAACTCTGAAGCGGCAAAACTATGCTTACGTTTGAATGAAACCTCACTGGGAATACCTGCAACAATCTTGTAAGACCTTGGTTCCTTTTCGAAGAAAGCAATCCGAAATTAGCGGCGGGTAATCTTTATGGTTTCGTGATAAACTTGCGCAAGCTACGTACGTAAAAGGCCAGTGGAGTCAGCATAAAAGGAAATGCAAATGATGTCATGAATTTGAATATATAATAATTCAAAAAACATATCCGTTGAATCGGTTGCACAATATAGAATACAAAAGCGTGATGTACGAACAAAAGCGAATTTATTGACATTCTGTCGGCTCTTGACAGAGCTATGGGACTGGATTGTTCAGTAGGCTTACATTATTAACAACAACAACCTATAAAACAAACATTGGAATTTATAAGGTCACGATATTTTTTTCCATAAAGTTCACGTAAATAAAATCGAATAGAGAGCTGAAATTTGAAATGTTATGTAATAGTGTTTGAAAACGAAGAGAAACAAAAAGTTCTGTACCAAAGAAATAATGGTATTGGTTTCTATTAAATGCCCTCACTATGAGATTTTTGGTAAAGACCAAGAAACAGTACCACAGAACAGAAAAGTTGCTCAAACTTTGTTAAATATCCATCTGATTGTGGCCGGGATTGAACAAAGACAAAAGGAAATAATCTTGAAATATTCTGATTTAACGAATGCTTAAATTGCTATCTCCATTGACTGGAAAATATTTTATTACAGCCACAAAACTCGACTTATAAAGAAAGCATCATTAAGTTTCACAGTGAACGATATACGCTTAGGAGGAAGAGTAGTTTCAAGCTTTTTTTTTTCGTTTGCTAAAGTCGTTACAGGGTGTCCAGTGCCATGGATGTTCAAAAAAATCGGTAAAAGAAAACTTTGTATTAAAAAATAGCAGAAAAAAATAGGAAAATCCATAGTACTCTCGCCGACAAAGATAGGCTCCTTGCACCCCATCAGAGTTATAATAAAGGCTACGAGTCCTGAGCTTCTACGTTCGCAAGGTTTAGATCAACTTTCGCGGCTTAGAAGGAGTGATCAGTATTTAAACGTTTAGTTTATTGGCTCAGTTACGCTGTAATCAGAATGATATGCTTGATTAAGGTGATCATATGCAAATTCCCTTCAAGTTAGTTGGCGGCAAATTTTTGAAAAGCTTCGAAGAATGAAATTTCTTAGGATAGAAATTTCTTACGATTGTGTTGTTATTAAAGGATATCGAACTAGAACTAAAAAGTCCTATGGAAAGCTTTCCGTTCATCAATCTGCAGTCGGTAGCTGGTTGAGAATATGCTTGTTTCAATCAAAAGACCGCATAGTTTTACATGTAATTACAGAACCAGGCTTTCCGCGGTGTACGCAAAATGACACTAATCTATTTGGTATCAGATTATAAGTGTGTCATGGTTAAGTTCTAAGAAGAACGTAACACTCTGCTTAGCTATGATTGCAAGACCGGTTTCGCAATCAAAATATTAGATCCTTCGTCAGTTGCTTAGGAACAGCTGTTAACAAGGGCTCACCAAGAGAGCTAGTGCCGTGAACGAAACCTGAGTCTGTTCTTTTCGTGAAGCATCCAGAATCTAGTTAGAGATTGTTTTTTTTAAACAAGAAGCTGATTGGATAATTTATCTGACCTGTGTTGTGAGAGGACAACTTGATCCTGTTTTCAGTTTCAAAGATGAACATAAAAGCGAGCAAGACTTCAAAATAAAACATAACATGTACAGATACTGAAATGCAGTTTCAGTGGGCTATGCACAATATTATTCAATAGTCATGAGGACTACATTGTATAACCCTACATACAATACATGTAGGTGCACTAGAGAATCATACAAAAAGTAACAACATAAAAAAGTTGTTAACAGATATCAAAAAGGCAATAGAGGTCATGGAAACAACAAATGTAACTACTAGTTATAGCTATCGCTAAGTGCCAACGGGCAAAGATTTTACCTGTTGGATTTGTTTAGTCAGAACTGTCATCAAATACAGTAAGTGATGGATAATAGACTGAAGTTAATTCGATTGCATTGGAAATAGTGCAAACTTAAAGCAAGGGGCACACATACACCAACCCACGGCTGGGCCAGTACCTCACGCATGCGCACAACCATATCACGTAGGCAGTGGCAGCCACAGACAGCTGTTTCGCCCTTATTGGGGTCCACTAGCGTGGCAAAGCCATTGGGTTGATGAACGGGGAAAACCCGCGTCTCAAAAGCCCCTTACTACCGATGTGAGTGCAAAGCAGTCTATCAAGCGCCAGCTCCACACATGTGGGGGCTGTTGGCTGGGAACCACACGGCAGTTCTACCACGACATGCGCAGGGAAGGTGGATCACGAGTTACTTGTAAATTAGTCAGCATTAGATCCCATCGGCAGTAGCCCCTTCCTCCCTTTATGAAATTTACACAGGGTAAGTGCCTTCAATTTGAAAGGAAAAAAAAAATTGATACCAATGACAGTAGGATTCGAACCTATACGACTCAAATGGTTCAGTATACCGCGCTAACCACTAGACCACTGAGGATTTGCTGGACGAAAGAGAAACAATTTAAGTACATATAGCATCAACCCCAACCCCAACCCCAAAAAAGAACCTAACCAGTTTCCAAACAGTGCTTAAACCTAATCAGTGGAGGCAGTTTAGAGTGGTTTTCGTTTGAGTGTCGTAAAACCAAAACCAAAGTAATTACTCTGGCCAATCACATAGGACACAGACAATACATTGAACCAATCAAAACTCGAAGTAATTACATGTGGCTGACGCAATACTTCTGATTGGATGAAAAGGTGGCGCGAATCTTTTAAGCCAATCGTATCGTGTAGAAAGTGCAAAACCAATTACTTTTCGACACTCAAATGAAAACCGCTCTAACCCTTTAAGTCCCTCCTCACAACAGATGGGGTGCTGATGGCTGGGAACAGCACGGCATTTCTACCACCACATGAGCGGGGAAGGCGGGTCATGGGTTCGGTGTATGTGTGCCCCGTGCTTTAATTTGTCTTTTGAAAATAGTGAACTAAACTGTTCTACTGCGTAAAGAATTTGAAATCCTGGCTTTACAAAGCAAATTTTTCGAGATATCGAAGTTCGTGTTTTTGTCCCAAGTTGCGCACAAGTCATTTTGCGTAAAACTGAATTTACTGGTCTTTGATTTTTATAATCAAACATAAAATGCTCGAAAAATCATATTACAGTCCGCGAATATTCAACGTAGAGACTTATATTTGGTCTCTTTTTAAAGCTAAAAACTTTATGGTGCACCAATGAGCTGTGAAGCCTTCCGAATTATTTTGCTTCAAAGACCCAAAAAATTTCGCTGCGTTACTATTTTTCTTAGCGGCATGCAATAAAAAATTCCAGCGGGCAAATGCGACAGATATCGCGTAGGATGGAAATGATCCACCCGACGATTGGTTGAAGACGGGATGAGCACGGGACTCACAAACACGCACACGGCTCGTGCATGGATTCTCTGATCTGTATCACGTGTTCGCTCGAAAACAATGCATTCTCTCTCCTACATTACGTCAGCCTTACATTACTCTGTGTTGCATCGATTTGAGACTTTTTCTGCCCCTGGAAAAATCACCCACGGCTCTTCAGGCTGCCGCCTCGCCACCTCGCGTCTTCGCGAGGCTGCTCGTTGGCAATTATTTTTGCTAATATAAGAGCATCAAAGTCGACATACTACTTGCTTTATGATAAAGCTCACTCTAAAACACACACAACTATAATTCCATTTTCAATTTTGTTACAAATTTTATAGGCTTCACAAGCTAAAAAATAGGAAAAATTCTAAGGAGGTTTTAGTTAAAAAATAGGAGAAAATAGAAATAGGCTAAAAATATAGGAAAAAATAGGAACTGGACACCCTGTTGTTATAATTCTTACTATACTTGCAATTTTTGTTATACACTTGTGCAAGCAGTTTTAAACTTTGTCATGTTAAAATTGCTAACGAAATTTCCTAGCAAATTTTTGCTACAGCCTGCAATCCTAGTTGAATTTGTAATTCACGCTACATTTGCGATTTTTTCTATTCTGCAAGCAGTCTCCCTTAAACTCATTTTTGCTAAAATTGCTACCGACATTTGCTTGCACACAGTCATTTAACTTCAATCGCAATTCCTTCATATAATAATACTTTTTTAACATATCAAATACCTAGCTGACTTAGAAAACACAAGTTTCAAAAACTTCAAAAGATAAGGCATTTAAAAAGCTTTCTAAGATGACTGAAGGCAAATGCTGAAATAGGCTCTTTCAGCCGCGGGAAAGTCACTTGAAGTCCTCGCAAGGGATACTGATATTCTCTGTTTGACGGTTTTACGCTGAGTGAATCATAGAAAAAATACGGTTTATTTCTTTAATGATTTATGGTCAAAGACGTCCTCTCCTTGCGTTTAACGAGTAAAATGTTTGGCTGTTATACGTTTTAACCATATTTTGAGACGCTCTGAGAAATGAGCAAATTATGTTTCTTAATAACTAAAACTACCATGGACTGAAAAGAAAGGCGGGAAACTGGCCTCTAGATACAGAGGTTCCACAGATGGAAGCAGCTGAATTGCTAAATGAAAATCTGATTTCTTGAATTTCAACAGTTTGTTGGCCTATTTCTCCAAACCAAGATATCGGGCCATTTACACGAGATATTATCTCATATGTTCTGTTTGTCTCAAGACAAACTGGGTTATCGAACTCAACATCAAAGCCATAATACACGCAAGCATGTGTGTCATCTTTTTCTGAAATGTAGGATCCTAATTGTTCTGCAAGAGAAATGCCAGTTTTTGCATCTTTCACTTCTAATGAAACAGTGTACTCGCCACCGTCACGGCCAAAATGCTGTACTCCATGTAACCTGACAGGTTTGTTGACAGTTATATTAAGAGCACTAAGACGAACGCCACTATGGCCCCTGGGATCATCTGAGATCAGTCCAGGGCTTCTAAGAATTGCAAATCTATGACATCGATGGAATCTATGACATCTAGGGGAATGCATGAATGTTAGAGGAGATTTTAAATCTATCTCATTGTAGTGCTTAATCATGTCACAAATCTCTGTTTCAGTCAAAATGTCACAATCCAAAACAACTGAAGCAAACTCCTTCTCTGGTATCAATGAAAAACGTATCGCTTTCACAATCTCTTCTCCAAGAATCTCTCTTTTGACCTTCCTCCTAGGAGTCTTCCCTTGCCTTTCTTGTTCTTTAGTGGCCCAGCGATCCACAGCTTTGAACAAATCCACTTCTTTTACTTTTAAAATTTCCCTTTTCACGACAGACGCAACGATTGATCGCTCAAGCGTGAGAAATTCATCCGACATTAGAGCTTTCTGGGTGTGCTTCTCAATTACTCCCCAGCACTGATTTTCCAAATCTTTTTCCTCATATTTCTGAGCTTGCGGCAGAATCGAGAAGACATTCGACGCTTCTAAATGTTTCAGGAGATATTCAGTGCATTTATCAGCCAGTGAGGGTACCATGTATTTTTTCGCCAAGTAGAGAACCTGCATCACATTACTTCCGCTTAGCTTCACATCATCGCTGTACAAGTAACGAAACAACTCTAACAGACTCTCATAATCACAGTCAGGCAGTTGAACAGTGCCTGCAGTCTCCGCCATTTCACCATAGAACATAGCAAAGAACACAGGACTACTGATCGCAAGAACAAACTTGTGGGCTGGAATACTCTTCTGACTCTTCCGTCTTTCACTTTCGTTCAGCGACGCAGGGACTACGAACTTAACATCGCTTAACAATTCGTTATTGAATATAAATTTGGTTCTCTCGCTGATAGTTGGCCGTTTCGTCTGCCAGTTATCATCAAAGGTAGCCATTTTGATTACCACGTAGCTTTAAGAAACTTTTTAAAATAATTCAGTTACGACGTCTCTTTCCTCTCAGAATCAATCTAGTAACTGAGTCTGCGCGGGATTGCACGACCCCCAGGCTAACCATTCTTTCTTTGCGTTTTCAACAGAGCAAAATGCAAAAATGCCTTCAAAATGTTCTTTAAATTGTCTATGAGATTAATGGAGGCTTTAACCTCTACAATATTTTCCATCTTGACAAGTATTCTATAGAACTGGCTAAACGTAACTGCAAGTGTAATATGAGGTACAATCTCGTATTACTCAAGGTGACAATTCTAAGTACGAGTGAACCAAGAATTTCGCTGTAGCAAAGGTCAGTTTTTTTTAAATTTTTTACACTATAGCCAATTTACTTTACCAAATCAAGGGCTGTTTACACTTGGAGGCACCGTGGCCGAGTGGTTACAGTGCTGGACTTGTTATCCAGAAGCCTCGAGTTCAACTCTAGCCCTGACCGCTAGCGGCTGGATTTTGTCCTTGGTAGTCCCGAGTTCAAAAATAGCCAACTGGATCGCCACCTAGCAGTTGGGATTCTTAAACTTGTTGTTTTCCATTTGACTTATTTGTTTCATTAGCCCTGAAAAGCCCCATAAGGAGAGAGGATCATTTTGTATTTATCATAATTGTGTTAGTCTTATAATTAACATCTGAAGAATTAAGAAACTTTAGCCTGGGAATTACCAAATATTGGCGGACTTTTTCGACTCCGGTTTGAATTAAAGAGTAAGATATTACGGTAACCATGGGTCTAGTGAATGAGGTAATAACCTTTATGGTTAACAGTTGTTAGTGCTAAGCGGCGACGGCAACGAAAACGGCCAAAAAATATCAATAGGTCTCATTGGCAAAAAAATCTTAGAACGTGTAGCAAACTTCTTTGTACATTTCTTTGTTGCTGTTTTGTACCACTAGAACGCAAAACTTCCTAGCTGCACGCTCTTGAGAAGAAATGTTGTATGTGTTCCTGTTCACTTTATTTTTCACTGCCGCTCATTTTCACCTTGCTGGGCGCTAGCATTTCTCATTTTCTAACCGCCGCCTATCTCCTCCGCAGAGGCTCCCGCTGGGTATCCCTTTAAAAAAGGCAATAATATAGGCCTCTGCGGAGGAGAGAGCACCACCGCTAAAAGATAACATTTTCATGTTCCTTTTCCAAACGAAATTGGTCTCCTTTGTTTTTTATCTCTCGCTCTAGCTCTTTCTCTGTTATCCTCGTCAATGTAGGCATTGACGACAAATTTAGTGGAAAGAATGACTCGGCTTTTTTGTTGTTTATATATTTTCTCTCTAAAAGTCCAGGTGGCCATACCATTTACCGCTGAAACGCGCGGGTGCTTGAAATGCAAAATTTTTCCCCAGCTTACATGAAGGGGTGGACGCACACAGTATGGACGATTTTGTCAGGACTAAAATTTCTTGGATACATGGATAACCAAATAGGCTCCTTCAGCTACCAGAAGTCCTTACAAGTGATATCGGTATTCTCTGTTTGACACTGTGTGGTTCCTGGAAAAATGTTTACAGTCGACTTTAAATATTTATGTTAACGAAGAAATGTTTGGCTTTTTATGGCAACGGTTATCCACACTTTGATACCCTCTGGGAGATCAGCAAATTAGGTTTTCTTAGGGATCAAAACTACATTGGACTGAATAGAAATGCAGGAAGCTGGCCTCTGTACACATTAGTCCCATTCGTCGACACCTCTGAGTTGCTAAATGAAAATCAGGTGTCTTGAAACTCGACGTCTGGTTTACCACTTTCTCCATAGCAAGATCTCGGGCCTTTCATACGAGATAAAATCTCATACGTTCTGTCTGTCTCAAGAGAGACTGGGAGATCAGACTTAAAAAATCAAAGCCATAATAAGTAAATGTGTCATCTGTTTCTGAAAAGTATGATCTTGATTGTTGTACAAGAGAAGAGCCAGTTTTTGCATCTTATCTCATGAAACTGAGTGTACTGCCTCCGTCATTGCCAAAAAGCTGTACTCCATGCAACATGACAGGTTCGTTGGCAGTTATTTCAAGAGCACTAGGAAAAGAGCTAATGTTGTTCCAGGGATCATCGGAGGTTCTAGAGAATTCTATTACTGCAAAGCTGGAACATCGATGCAAACTTCTACGGGAATGCATGAATGCTAAAGGAGATTCTAAAGCAGCGCCATTATCATCATTGAAGTATAGTCTACTTCAGTTAATCATGTCACAAATCTCTGTTTTACTGAGAATGGCACAATCCAAAACAACTAAAGCAAATTCCTTCTGCAATATCAATGAAAACCGTATTGCTTTCACATTATCTCCTCCAAGAATCTTTCTTTTGACCTCGCCATCAGGAGTTAGCCCTTGCGGCCTTTTAAGTTCTTTAGTGGCCCAGCGATCCACAGCTTTGGATAAATCCAATTTTTAATTTCAATGCGTACCTCTTCACGACAGACTCAACAATTGATCTCTTAAGCTTGAGAAGTTCATCCGACATTAGAGCTTGCTCACTGTGCCACTCCCCAGCACCGTTTTTCCAAATCTTCATTCTCAAATTTATGGGCTTGCGGCAGAATGGAGAACACAGTCGACGCTTCTAAACGTCCCCGTTGATACAGTGCACGTGTCAATCAAAGGGGGGACCACGTATTTCTTTGCCACGTAGAGAACTTGCATGACATTACTTCCGCTCAGCTTCACATCATCGCTGTACAAGAAACGAAACACCTCCAGCAGACTCTCATAATCACAGTCAGGCAGTTGAACTGTGCCTGCAGTCTCCGCCATTTCACCACAGAACATGGCACAAAACACAGGACTGCTGATGGCAAGAAAAACCTTGTGGGCTGAAATGTTCTTCTGACTCTTCCGGATAAATTTGGTTCTCTCGTTGGGCGTTCTGCCAGTTATCATCAAATGCAGCCATTCTGATTACCAAGTAGCTTTAAGTTTAAACGTCAACACAACTCACGAACTTCCTTTCCTCTCAAGCAACAAATTTGATAATGCTTCTGAGTCTGCCCGAGATTGCACGAAACACAGGGTACCCATACTTTTTTAGTTTCGAGGTTTCAATTTAAAGGAAAATGTAGACAAGCCTTCAAAATTTTGTTTAATATATTCCTTTGTTAATAGAGGCTTCAAAATCTATAATAAATTTCAATTTTAAATAGTATTTTCTACGGCTGAATGACTGAAGGAAACTGAACGCCGCCCATGAGTGCCGGTCTGCGGATCGGAGCGTGAGACTGCATGAAGTTAAAACCCCGGGCGGGCAGTACCACAGAACAGAAAAGTTGCTCGACCTTCGCTAATACCCATCTGATTGTGTCTGGGATTGAAAAAAAAAAAAAAAAGACAAAAGACAAAACGAAGAAACCTTAAAGTATACTGATTTAACGAATGCACAAATTGATATCGCCATTCACCGGAAAATCTTTTTATTGCCGCCACAAAATTCACCTTTTTAAGAGAGCATTATTAAGATTGACGGTGAGCGATATACATTTACACATTCTTTCCTTAGGAGGGAGAGTAGTTTAAAGTTTTTTTTTTTCTTTTTCTTTTGTTTCGTTTGTCTGTTATCTTTACTATACTTGTAGTTTTTGTTATACACTTGTGCAAGGAGCCTGCAATTCTAGTTGAATGTGTCATTCTTGCTACATATGGGATTTTTTTTCTTTTCTACAAGCTGTTCCGCTTTATTAATACACTTTTTTTGCAAAACTTGCTACCGAGGATTGCGAGTACATAGTCAATTAACTTCAATTGCAATGCAATAGCCTAAATCGTAATGATATTATTTAAAGTATAGAGTCCACGCCTGACGTGAAAAAAAAAAAAAGTTTTCAAAAGGTGGGGCCTTTTCAAAAGCTTTCCAAGATGACTAGAGGTAAAAACTAAAATAGGCTGCATCAGCCGCGGGACAAGTCCGTGAAATCCTTACAAGCGATATCGATATTCTCTGTTTGACTGTTGACACTAAGTGAAACAGAAAATTACGGTTAATTTCTCGACAGATTTAAGGTCAAAGACGTCCTCTCTTTGCGTTTAACGAGTAAAATGTTTGGTTGTTTCACGGCTAACGGTTAACCATATCTTGATACTTCCTAGGAAATCAGCGAATTATGTTTCTTAAGAACTAAAACTACATTGTACTGAAAAGAAAGGCAGGAAACTGGCCTCGAGATACATCAGTCCCACCTCTGGAAGCCGCTGAATAGCTAAATGAAAATATGATTTCTTGAGACTGAACAATTTTTCGGCCTAGTTTTCCAAAGCAAGATATCGGACCATTTACACGAGATATTATCTCATATGTTCTGTCTGTCTGAAGGCAAACTGGGTTATCGAACTCAACATCAAAGCCATAATACATATAAGCATATGTGTCCACTTTTTCTGAAAAGTAGGATCCTAGTTGCTGTACAAGAGAAAAGCCAGTATTTGCATCTTTTACTTGTAATGAAGCAGTGTACTCGCCACCCTCACGGCCAAAATGCTGTACTCCATGTAACCGGACAGGTTTGTTCACAGTTAATTTAAGAGCATTAGGGAGAGTGTCAATGTTGCTCCAGGGACCCATTGGAGTTTGAGGGATTTCTATGTGTGCAAATCTGTAACATCGATGCAAACTTCTGGGGAAACGCTTGAATACTAAAGGAGATTTTAGGTCGCCGTCATTGTAGTACTTAATCATGTCACAAATCTCTATTTCAGTGAGAATGTCACAATCCAAAACAACTGAAGCAAATTCCTTCTGTGATATCAGTGAAAACCGTATTGCTTTTACAATCTCCTCTCCAAGAATCTTTCTTTTGGTCTTCCTACTAGGAGTCTTCTCTTGCCTTTCTTGTTCTTTAGTGGCCCAGCGATCCACAGCTTTGAACAAATCCACCTCTTTTACTTTTAATATTTCTCTTTTCACGACAGACTCAACGACTGATCGCTCAAGCGTGAGAAATTCATCCGACATTAGAGCTTTCTGGGTGTGCTTCTCAATTACTCCCCAGCACCGATTTTCCAAATCTTTACACTCAAATTTCTGGGCCTGCGGCAAAATGGAGAACACATTCGACGCTTCTAAATGTTTCCGGAGATACTCAGTGCATTTATCAGCCAGTGAGGGTACCATGTATTTCTTTGCCAAGTAGAGGACTTGCAACACATTACTTCCGCTTAACTTCACATCATCGCTGTACAAGTAACGAAACAGCTCCAACAGGCTCTCATAATCACAGTCAGGCAGTTGAACAGTGCCTGCAGTCTCTGCCATTTCACCATAGAACATGGCAAAGAACACAGGACTGCTGATCGCAAGAACAAACTTGTGGGCTGGAATACTCTTCTGATACTTCCGGCTTTCACGTTCGTTCAGCGACGCAGGAACTACGAACTCAACATCGCTTAACAAGTCGTTATTGAATATAAATTTGGTTCTCTCGCTGATAGTTGGGAGTTTGGTCTGCCAGTTATCATTAAAGGTAGCCATTTTGATTACCACGTAGCTTTAAGAAACTTTAAAACAATCCAGTCACGACTTCTCTTTCCTCTCAGAATCGATACTGCTGAGTCTGCGCGGGATTGCACGACTCACAGGCTAACCACAAGAGAGAATGAGCTGCTAACCATGCTTTCTTTGCGTTTTCAACGGAGCAAAATGCAAAAATATCTCCAAAATGCTCTTTTAAATATTTATGAGATTAATGGAGGTTTCAACCTCTACAATATATTCCATCTTTACAAGTATTCTATAGAACTGGCTGAACATAACTGCAAGTGTAAGATGAGATACAATCTCGTATTACTCAAGGTGACAATTCTTAGTACGAGTGAACCAAGGATTTCGCTGTTAGTAGCTGCGGTCACCTTCTTTTTTATTTTTTATTTTTTACACTATAGCCAATTTATTTTACCAAATCAAGGGCTATTTACACTTGGAGGCACCGTGGCCGAGTGGTTACTGCGCTGTACTTGTAATCCAGAAGCCACGAGTTCAACTCCAGCCCTGAGCGCTAGCGGCTGGATTTTGTCCTCAGTAGTCCCGAGTCCAAATCCCCGGTCACGTTTGCAAATAGCCAACTGGATCGCCTCCTAGCAGTTGGGATTCTTAAATTTTTTATTTTCCATTTGAGTTTATTTGTTTCATTATCCCTGCCAGCCCCATAAGGAGAGGGTCATTTTGTATTTATCACAATTGTGTTAGTCTTATAGTTAACATCTAAAGAACAAAGGAGATTTAGCCTGGGAATTACTGAGTATTGGCGGCCTTTTTTTTTTTTTGGTAATAGCGAGGCTCTCGTCCCACTTAGTATTTATATTTTAGTACTAAAAAAAAAAAAAAAAAAAAAACCTTGTACAAAGCTAAGCCGCGAAGAAAAAAAAAAAGGCAAAAAATCTTCATAAGTTTAACTTGCAAAAAAAAAAAAAAAAAAAACAACAAACAACAACAAAAAAAAATTACAAAACACTACAATAAAAGGTGTTTTGGTCTGGGGATTTGTTGATTTTTGTGTGCTTTTTTTTTTTT